CTTGGAAATTTTTCGCTGTGTCGATCCCAGAGGATATTTCTATGGAACTATTGGCCATCCTGTTTTCTTCTTTTGTGTTGGTTTAATTTTCAACCAGTGGTTGAAAATTCATTGCTTGACCGTTATAGTCAAGTTTATTATTGTTTGATATTGTTTTGGTTATCTATTATGTGGATAACCATAGCGAAGCTTGTCTAAGCTGTGTTGTTGGCCACCCGCCTTTGTTGAGCTGGAAACACCTTTCTTTTCGCTTCCAGAAACTTCAACACTGGTCTGTTCCACGTTTTTGGTTAGGCAAGAGCCATTTTAGTAGAAATCTGCCATTGTGTCGTTGTGCTTAAGAGCCAACGAACTGTACCTGGTGCCGATTCGTCAAATCGAGCATCCAGTTTTATTTTGTATGTTATTATGTTAGAACCATAAACAGTTATGATGTGTAGTTTTGGTTATGATTTTTGTTTGTTGTTTTTTTTTTCTGTTTGAGTTATTGAAGTCATTATGTGTTGTTGCAGTAGTTAAAAAATGCTACTGTTGTTCCAACCTGATTGTTGTTCGCCCTAAACGAAAACTTTTCCTGTTAGTCCAGTTTTCGCTCTTACGTGGGGGTATTGTAGCATTTTAAATTTGATTGATTCTTTGAAGTATATTTAAAGTCGCCTCGTATATGAAATCGTCTTAATAAAACGAAGAATGTTTTTCTGTTTTTTAGTTCGTATCTTTCGAAAAGTGTTTTCAATCATTCTAACGTCGTAGAGTAATAAATCCATTTAATTGTTGTTTATTTTACTGCGGCGATTTCTTTTCATGTAAATGCGTTTCAAAGGATATCTACGTCGTTCGTTGGTTTTGCTATTTCAGCAGTTCGTTGATTTTCAAGTTAAGCGAACAAATTTTTAATTTCGTCACTATCGGTGGAACCGCTGTCAAGGGCAGTTGGTTTCGTTTGTTTAGTCCGAATTTTCGTCAAATTCGTAATGGTTTTTGGTTATTGTTTTATTTTTGTTATTAGAAATAGTGAAGTTTGGTAACATGTATAGTTACAGTTTGAGGTTGGTTTAAGATCTTGACGGGAAAAGAGCCTGGGTGTGTATTCTTCAAGGAACCAACAATTTTTTATGAAGAGGTGAATTTTATACTCAGATGTAATGTGTCAGTTTTTGTCTGAGTTACTCGCCGATTTTGTTCGTGCTGTGTTTTACCTGAGGGATTTTAAACACGGCGTTTTCGATCAGTTCAAGAGATGTCCCTATGGTTTCGAGCAAGAGCCTGAGTTTTTGAAAAGCTAAGCCTTGAAGATTGCGACAAGATAATCTAGTGCCCAGCTTTCATCATCTATTTGTTGTCGTTAGTCACTCCAGAACATTTTGCAGCTTGTGAGACTCATTTGTTTGTTTTGCTGTATTTTAGAGTCCAATTCCAACGCCAAAACTTTTAAAGGAGATACAATAGTCAGTAATATCAGGTATTTTTTTTTTGTTAAAATTTTTAAAGTAAAAATGGACATTTTGATTATTATTAATTTTAGGAATTGGCTAACTGTCATATTAATTATTCTTATAAAGTTTTAATATTTAATCTTGGCGTATGACAGTTAGCATTATTTTCTCCGGACATTGGGTACATGCATAACCATAAATTTTGAATTTGTTTTTTTTTGTTTTTAAAAAAAATTAATCTCAGTGAGTAAGATCCATTTAAAAAGATATTTTGATTTATAATAAGTATTTAAATAGTTACGACTAGTTGTTGGAACCGCTACAAAATGTCTCCCAAATATTGTCCCCAACGTCTAGAGTTTGCTGTAAACCGATAGCATCATTGTAAGTTGTTCGTGTATGTTGTTATTATTATCTGTATTTGTATAACTGTTTGTGGTGACATAAATAAAGGTTAAATTTTGTTGTCTTAACTTTTTATTTATTTTTTTGAGCTAAACCTTTATTGATTTTTATTTGAAAAAGATATGTTTTTTTATGTTGATTTTTTTTTCTAATTATTTCCCTAGTTACAACGAGTGGGTTGTAATAGGCATAATTAGGCACCTCAAGTGGCGCCCTATAATCAAATTTCTTGAGGTGTTTTCTGTTTAATTTTATTTTGTTTATCCCAAGAGCCCTTTATTTCATTTTTTTGTAGTTGCCCCATTCCAATGCCCTTATCTTTCACTTATCCACGACCCCAGCTCTCCTACGAAACCCTGAGTGTCCGTTCGCATAAGTAGCGATTATTTTGCTTGCCTTATCTCCACCCCCAATAGTTTCTTCCCCCAATTTTCTACCTTATATTAATGCCCCTGTGGTAGGCAAAATATTATCGTTACACCGTTCATTTGGGAAACAGACCACATCGAAGCGCAATGGACAATTTAGTATTACTACAAAACCATATAACCGAGAATTTAAATAAGCAACCTGATACAATAAACGGTAATAAGTCAAATATTCTCGAACTACTCAATGGTGTACCTCAAGTCTCTGTTTTAAGTCCAACTCTGTTTAACTTGGCAATTAATGGCATCTCAAAAGAAGTTCGTCAACCGTAAAAGCTCTACTGTACGCTGATGATCTACTTATTTACTGTAGTGGAGCAAGTATATCCAGTACATTAAATCTTATTCAAAATGCTGTAAACAACGTATATTCTTGGTCCATACAAAACGGCATTAAAATTTTCAGCTCAAAATATAGGCTAGACAAAGATTTACCAAAAAGCAGTGTTCCAAACCCGGAAATATATCTAAACGATATTCCTTTATGTACAGTAAATTATAAAATCTCGGGGCTAATATTCGATCAGAAGTTAAACTGGAAAATACACTTAAAAAATCTAAAGGATAGCTGTGCTGGTAAACTAAACATATTGAAGACTCTTGAACTGAACAAAATATGTTATTGAAAATCTATAGATTCGCTTTATGGATGCATGCTCTCTATGACCGTCTGTATACTTATCTTAAATCTCTAAATTCAATACAAACGACCTCCTTACGTATATATCTACTTGCATTTCAATCTAGCCCCGCCGAAAGCATGTGCATTAAAGCTTTGGAACCTCCAGTAATTAAGCTCATTAACATCCAACCCGTTTCTTAAAATAGAGACAGATCTGTTTACTCCCTTCCACAATTAGTAAATTCTTTGCTAACAGCTATAGACCTGAATATAACTATCCCCGTCGGTACTTCCAATACTCCTTCATGGACTAAAAAGCTAGATACCTGCTTTATATACTAGTCTAACTCGACATAAAAAAGTAGACACTCCTAACCACCTCCTTAGATAATTCATTAGTCAAGAAGCAGTAAATGCAAAACAGAACAATTAAGTTCTTTATACCGACGCATCTAAAGATGAAACAATACTGGCTGTGCTGTCTGTACCGAAAACATAATCTTAGCTCTACACCGACTGTTGGAGAACTATATCTCCAAACCAATAATTCTATTTTGTATCAAATAATTCTATTTTCGCGTCGGTTACCTAAATAAATCCAGTCTACCTAGACCTTGTTTCTGAGAATGTTAATCCCCGCCCACAGCGCCTACTTGACGACAGACCGGCTTTTCAAAATGCATAAACAAAAAAAATATTCCAGCGGGGCTAGTGATTTAGCGACTTTCGTAGGGCTAACATCTATATTTCAAAAGTTCGGAGAGGATTCTCCACGTTGCAGTTTACGCAATTGACCGGGAAGCCGTAATATGTGAATAAGTGTTATGGTGTTTTCGCTTTCGTTCGCAAATTGTAATATTCAAATAAAGTTCCTACGATAAGTTACACACTCAAATTTTATAAGCTCTATTTCTTGCCCTTTCTTTTTTCAATTACAGTTTCTTTCTAAACAAGTAATTGTTTTATTTCACTATATCAATTCAACAGGCCAGATAAAAGCAACTTTGAAAGTCCATTTTAGTTTCTTACTGAGCTGTCGAAGGCTAGCGGACTAATTGGGCTTACAGCAAGAACAAAGCCGCTGAAAGAGACACTGTTGCATATAAGCCTCTCCATGGAAGGAATGTTGTAAACCGGCACCCTCCACCGACTATCAACCACTTATAGTATTCACACTGCAGAATTATGTGGTAGTAAACTCTTTCTTTAATTTAGTCCATTGCCAACATATAGTCGTTAAATCCGACAATCCAAAAAATTCAACACATCTGTCGTCAAAACCACATCAGAGGAACATCAATAATCATTCTTGGGACACCATCTCATGTGGGGATCTGTGAAAATGAGTCGGCAGATGCCGCAGCAAGAAAAGCAAATTGTTCTAACCTACGCCTAGAAAAAATTCAACTTCGTCAAGATCTAGCAGCAACCATAACAAAACACTCGTAAAACATGACAAAATCATTGGAATGGACCAAATACAAAACTGCACATAATCAGTCCCATTGTATACTCACATTAAAGATACCTACAATGACTAGGAAGGACAAACTCATCATTTGAAGACTCCGAATAGGACACACTCGCTTTACTCACGGATACCTGATGACTTCCGAAAACTCACCTGGTTATGAACATTGTCATTCTCACCGCCTTACAGTAAAACACTTACTCATTGAGTGCAGTTATTACAGACTATATAGACTAAGTTCTCCAATATAGTGCTCTACTTGACTTTTTAAAAGATTCCCGATTATATTATCGTCTAATATAACAAATATTGTAACATTGTTCGTTCAAAAAAAAAAAAAACAAAGTTTGTAACACTATATTTTTCCAAATCTAATGTAACTGACTGTATTTATCTTATATAATGTAATAATCTTATATGTATAATGTAATACTACAGACGATTTTGTACCCGTGTCAATGGCCATAGATGTCGAAACATGTTAATTTCAATAAAAAAGAAACAAGAAGAATTTGTAGGTCTTTCCTTGTTTGTTTGCATTTCTTTTGGAATATCCCTTTTATTTTTTAGTATATCCGTTAATGTCCAACCTTCGACGCCCTATAAAATGTATATATCTTTTATATTTTATGTTTTAGGTATCTTATGTCCAAGCTCACTTACGAAATGGAAGACGTTGTAGTGCTGAAAAGGCCTTTCTTCGTCCTGCTGCAGCGAGATCCAATTTAAAAATTCTCACTAACAGCAGAGTAGTTCAAATTTTAATCGATCTATTTACCAAAAAGGCTTATGGTGTTCAATACGCCAAGGATAAGAAATACTTTAACGTTTTTGCTAAAAGGGAAGTTATTGTTAGTGCTGGTGGTCTTAATTCGCCACAGCTATTGATGCTATCTGGAATTGGTCCAAGAGAAGATTTAGAACAGCTCGGTAGGTATTTACATATGTATATTTATATAGTTCGTATTACTTTTCTATTGAATATTTTTAATTTAACTACCTTCTATATTTCTTCTTCTTTTGTGTTCTCAATAGAAGTTGACGATGATAGGCTAGTTCTTCATACCTTGCTTTAATCTAGTTACCATTGACACACTTTTATGTGAAAATATATTTTATATTCCTTAATAAGAAATAGTTTTCTTCATATTCCTTTTATTCTTATAACACTTCGTCGATATTAATTATACCAATGCATAACATTTTCATAAAAGTTTTAAATAAAAAAAGCAAAGAAGCAAGAATGGATGACAGATAGAATATTGCATATAATGAATGATCGAAGGAATTTAAAGGCAGAAATGTCAGTAAATACAGTAAGTTGCATAAGAGTATACTTATTATTAGAGAAAATAAAAACAACAGAAAGGCATATCTGACTGAGAAATACACAGAAATTGAAACACTATAACGCAAAGGTCACGATTTCCTTATGCAAAAAAAGATTATGTAAAAAAATATTAAAGATGTCTTCTTCGTATAGTGTAGTCTCCCTATGGAGGTTGGCAATCATAATGGCTATTTTTTATTTTTGAACTTGCTGCTCTAAAAAAAGCAATCGACCTGCATTGATACCAATCACGAAAATTCTTCAACCATGATTTCTGCCTTCGGTCAACAGATCTTCCCTGTAATATGTCTCAAAGTTTCATATTTTGGTCCCCCCATCACGTGGCCTAGGTATTCCAGTTTTCTGGTTTGTATAGTGGTGGTTACATTTGTTTCTTTATCAACCCCCTCCAGTACTTCTTTATTTGTAATTCTATCAGTCCATGATATATTTAAATACTCTGCAGTATAACCAGAGTTCGAAAGCCTCTATTCTTTTTAAATTGCATCTTTTTTAAAGTTCAAGCCTTAGGTCAATACATCATTTAACCCGGATCTATTCACTGCTGGATATAGGTTTCCCTCAGTCTTTTCCATGTATTTCTGTTTTGTGCTGTTTGCATCCAATTTTTGTCGATCCGTTTTTATGTCATTAGACCATCTTGTTGGTGGACGACCTCTACTTCGATGTGCTTCTTGTCTCGGTCTCCACTGTATTATTCGCTATGTCTATCTGTTATCCGACATTCTAGCTATGTGCCCAAGTGGTCATAATTCTTTCTATGGCATCTGTCACTTCTGTTCTCCGTCTTATTTCCTTGTTCGTGATCCGATCCCTACGAAAAATGCCTAACATCGATCGTTCCATGGCTCTTTGGGTAACACAAATTTTATTTCTTACTTTCTTGGTTAGTGTTAATGTCTCTGCACCATATGTATGTATTGGCAACACGCACTGATTAAAGACTTTTCTTTTAAGACACATAGACAGTTCTGATTTAAGAACATAGCTCAGCTTGCCGAATGCCACCCAAGTGAGTCCTATGCGGCGGCTTAGTTCGCACATTTGATTATCTCTTCCTATGCGTATCTCATGTCCTAAGTACTTATAAGAGGTGGTTTCTTCAATATGCATGCCATTTACTGAAATCTTTCGCTTAACACAAGATTTGTGTTTTTGTGTGGTTGATTTTTAATCCAATTTGTAGGGAGGCTAGGTATAGTTTCTCCAGTTGTGATATTGCATCAGCGATTCTGCCAGCAAAAAGGACAATATCGTCAGCAAACCTCAAATGACTAAGCATTTCTCCATTGACATTAATTCCTTTTTCACTTAGATTTACGTTCTTAAACATAATTATGCTCTAATAATGTTGTAAACAATTTTGGCGAAATTGTGTCTCCCTGTCGCACTCCCCGTTTTATTTTCAATACGTTGGTCATTTTATCTGCCAGTTTCACGCTTGCTATCCCATTTTGATAGATGTATTTTATGATGTTTATATAGCGATGATCTATACGGCACTCTGTTAAGGCTTTTAACATCTTTTGATGACTTATTGTGTCGAAAGCTTTTTCGTAGTCAACAAATATCATGACTATGTATGACCTTACATAGGTAAAATGGTCCTGAGACGAAGTGTCTTCGAGGACCTGTTGATAACAATATTTATTATTGAAATCAATGTAATGTTCAACACGCGACGCGTAGGATGACGATGGCGTTAGCGGGTGCTACCTCGCAGCGAAGACGCGACTGTTTTATCCAGCAGGAACAAGTAGAAAATTAAAATTGCGGATAGATGGCTATATATCGAAAATATAGATGAGGGAGATTCTCATTGCCGATGTTGCTTAATCCTTACAACGAGTGGTGAGTTCTGCTAATTTGATTCATATTTCCGGTATCTAACTCGTACCAGATGGGGTGGCTAGGTATGAATTATAAATACTTTTCATTTAATATTTAACTAGTATCTATAAGAAGTTGCGAGACTGCAACAGTGTGTCTGTTGTTTCCAATATCGAATTAAGTACCTCTAATAAGAATCTCTTTGATAGCCAATATACTTTGATACTTCTATTCGTCTAGATAAAATCAAATTCTTCCTCTTCTTCCATATTTTTTATGTTTTATGTAATTTTAAATACCAGATATCTCTTTTAGATATACCTGTTATCGCAGATTTGCCAGTAGGAAAAAAGATGTACGATCATCCAGCCTTTCTGGGACTAACATATGAAATAAATCAAAACATTGTGTTGGTTCAAGATGAAATATTTGGGAATGTTTCAGAGGTATTTAAGTTTTGGAAACTAGGAACAGGTGCTTTAACTTGTACAGGTAAGATATCCTTATTCGTCCTTTATTATAATTATACAGAAAACTATTAATAACACATAACAAGGCAAGGGATATGCAACTCCATCCATCGATTTTTTTTTTGTTACATACACCCGGTTCATTTCTTATAACATAAATTCAATAAAAATACACTGACTATTATAGGGCGGTGCATTTGTATCGGTTTTTAATAAACGATTTTTTGTGGTTAAATTAAAAATAAACGCGCATTTCTTTTAAAAGATAAAACAAAAAATATATCAAACAAAAGAAATAAAGTATTTGAAAAAATGTACGTTCAAAGGTTAAAATCAATAATAGACTAACATAAAATAATTCCAGAACATCAATTCGGTGTCCGAGACAAACTCGAAACCATAGAAACAAATGCATAGGCTAGTCAACCAAATAAACAAAGATTTTAACGCCAAAAGATACTGTTCTGCTGCTTTCTTTGAAATATCTCAGGCTTTTGACAAGGTATGGCACATAGGACTATAAACAAAATTTAAGAAGCTTCTATCCTATCCTCAGACACTTCCTGGTGAAGCACGGCACCGAGCACACTAAGATATATCCTATTCACTCAGGCATCCCACAAGGCAGCGTTGTCGGTCCAGTTCTATATCTTTTATGCGCAACGAATATTCCAACATCTAGTACAACTACTGTTGCAACGTTTGCAGATGACACTGTTATCCTGGCGTCCCACACAGATCCATCAACAGCATCAAGAAATCTTTAATCAAACCTAAGTTGAATTCAGCAATGGATAAAAGTATGTCGCATCAAATCTAGTGGAACTAAGTCAATACATATTACATTCACGCTACGTTGAGAAACATGCCCCCCTGTATATATTGATGATTGTCTAATTCCTCAATTCGAGGACGTTATATATCTTAGCATGCATCTACAAGTCCATCCTCAAGCCCAAATAGACTTATGGGATTCAGTTATGGGGCACTGCTAGCGTCTCCAATACAAACATCTTACAGAGATACCAAAACAAGGTGCAGCGTGCCATAGTTAATGTGCCATACTATGTATCCAACGTGGTGATTCAACACGACATCCCCTAGAATCCGTGAAAGTAGGCATACAACGTTTTAGTGCTAAATACTATGAACGAGTCCTAGTGCATCCTAATGCGTTTACTCGACAACTAAATGTGCGCAACGTCTTTGAAGTACGTAGACTAAAACGACAATTGCCGTCCGACTTTTCCAACTAAACATAATAAGTGTAGGTATTCAAACTAATAAAATTTTAATTTTAGAATTGTAAAGAGGTAAAAAACTGTATTTGATTTTATCTTGTACGTTTTATTATTTTATTAGTTAACTTTGTCTTTTAGGTGGCGTGGAAGGGTTATTGTATTTTAAAAGCAAAGTATCTGATGACCCTGATCCATTATACCCTGACGTAGAACTAATATTTTTAGCAGGAACCATTGCAGCTGACAATGGACATTTATATACAAAATTGTTTAATGTACCACGTGATACTTATGACCGAATTTGGAAAATGTACGAAAAAAAGCCAGCATATCAAGTATGTATTTAAAATATCTCTTAAAATGAATATTTCAGATAAAATTGCATCTGTATAAGGTAATTGGTTAGGTACTAGTTTTTTTATGGTAGATTCAATGTCTTGAAACACTGTATCTGGCTGTATTTCGTAGACATCCTCATCAATGGTTGTTGGGCAGTTGTTATCGCCTGGGCATAGCGGTTCACGATATTTAGCACACCTCCTGTTTACGCTACTAATGTGACACCTTCACTGCTTCGACTGTTCGTTTCTTTTAAAAGTCTCATAAGTCAAGTCAAGCTTTTTCTGATGATTGAAAAACCATAAATTACGTATAGAAGGATGTGAATGTGAACTGAAAAGAAATTGTATGTAATTTAATCTATAATTAAATGACGTTTAAGAGACTACATCTTATTTTTTTCTTTAATTCAATTTTTTTTGTAACAATTCGAGAACGACTAAGCCGATTTAGCTTATTTTAATTTTAAAATATTTGTAGAAACCCTAGGAAAGTTTAAAAGGTAAGAAAACATGATGAAATTGTAGGGAAAATAGTTTAAACGTCTATCTTTTCTTCTTCGTCTATCGAGTTTATCTTTTACTATTTTAAAATCTTATAGATGATGAACCTATCGCAACAAAATTAAAGAGGTAACTTGTGTATATTTTTTTGCACCAATAATACTTGTAATATTGATGCAATTAACACCAATAATAAGTAAACAAATATGTTATTCATTTCCATTGTGACTCTAAGTAAGAGACTCACAGTTATAAAGAGCACAACAAATCGATATTGAAACATTGGCGGAAATAGTTCGTACATGTTCCACAATTAAATCAATAAAAGAAAACGTCCCTTTTACTGAAAAAATATTCACTGTAAATATTTGGAGTATTGTACTTAATAAATTATTCTTTCTTATTTCAGATAATGCCGATGTTAACCCATCCAAAATCTTTTGGATTTATCAAGTTAGCTTCTAAGAACCCCTTTAGGTGGCCAAAATACTATGCAAACTTTTTGTCAGATCCCCAAAATCACGACATAAAAACTTTTATAGCGGCTATCAGAGAAATTCAACGAATTAGTACTAGTCCCACCTTAAAACAATTAGGAGCTACTATAGTAAGAACCCCACTACCAGGTAAATACATACAAGTTTATGATTAGTATATAATATTACAGCATTAGAGATAGATTGTATATAAGTTTGTTTCAATGAAATATAGAATAAATTTATTATTTTTTAAATTATAAACATGTGCATGAAAAGCTAAAACATATTCATCTCTAATGTTTGAAATAAGTAATGGATTCATCGTAACTTAATGGAAATTCATTTTATCTAACAATAAAAAACTGATTCAAAACTTTCTCAAGTGATCTATTGTTGGTATGCGTTTATACTTTATAATTTGTATACTGTGTACTTAACTGAATAAGTTGTAGAGGGGAGAACTGTTTGTCACAAGTTGATCATTTAGAATTATATCTGTATTTTTTAATTTGTTAATTTCCATAGACTCTAATAAAGATAGCTTAATGCCTTTATTGTCCCTTTGATGTTCTGTTAAACGTTTGATAAAAGTTCTACTAGTTTCACCGATGTAAGTTTTGGCGACTGCCCAATAGGCAATATCAATAATCAAACATTAATCTCTTTAGTGCCAGTCACCCATAAAAAAATGCATTTTGTGCAAAATGCATAAAATTCAATTCACTAACTCTCGAGGGGACAGCGATGTGAACTGCTAAGGCTGATAACACAGGAAAAGATAAGAGGAGGAAGGAGTATAGGAAGAAAGAGAGTGTCACGGTTGAAGAATTTAAGGGACTGGTTTAAATGCAGTTCTATAGAACGCTTCAGAGCAGCAGTAAAGAAAGTAAAGATAGTGATGATAATATTCAACCTTCGTTTGGAAGACGGAACTAAAGAAAAAGATCAATTCTTTCTAAATTCATTCTAAATTATAAAGAATTCAACTAATATCAAGTAGAAACTTCAGCTTACGACTGCCAATCCTGACATTACGATGATGTTTATATGTTAATTTATGATTTACTTCTGTGTATCAACAAAAGACTCTTAGTCTGGTAAATTTTATAAACAGACTATTAAAAAAGTCAATTTGTTCCCATAACATTTTATCGATTTTAAAAATATGTCTTTAAATCAAATCAAGATTTTTTTCATTTTTATTATAATCAGTTTTACAAACAATCTGACAGTCTAACAATATACAGTTGCTTATCATAGATGTCTTTATGAATCATTTAGAATCTAATCTCAGTTATACACTTTTTTGTAAGTTTAAATTATGGTATAAAACCAGCCATTGAAAATTTTTCCTTCATAAGCAATTTGTTTTTGTTTTCAAAAGAAACAATATACTTTTAAATATTTTAATTAATATTTATTTTAGGTTGTGAGCACCTGGTCTTTGATAGTGACGAATATTGGGAATGTGGTCTAAGATCTCTGACTAGTAGTGTCTGGCATCAAGTATCAACGTGCAAAATGGGACCAAGAGGAGATCCGGAAGCCGTGGTTAATAATAGAGGAGAAGTTTATGGAGTAGAGAATCTGAGAGTGGCTGATACAAGTATAATCCCTTTTCCATTATCTGCACATACAACTGGACCTTCATACATGATCGGGGAACGAGTATCTGATTTTATTAAAGACAAATGGAAAGCAAATACCGTATAATAGAAGATTCATTAATATTTATTTAATGGAAAGATTATTTTACAAAATATATAAGTTTTATTATAAGTATTAAAATAAAGTCCATTCCATGAATATTCGACTATTTTAAATTATCGCGACAACAAATATTTTACTGTGCAACATAAGAAGTACGAAATTAAATTACTCTAATTATTATTCTAATAAAAGTTCAACAGTTAGAAAAATTTCCAATTAAAAGTTTTACTGTTTGACATAATTTAGTACTGATTCTAATGTGTTTGTGTATTGAAGCCAAAACTGCTGAGCCATGTTTTAGATGTAGATGACTTTATATTTAATCCACATGCCTATCTTACTGCTAAGTCATTAAGAAATTCAAGAAATCAAGGTTGGTTCAGCAGAAATAAACGGGAGAACAAAACTCCATGTTACGACGAAAGGGTGAAAGCACTAGCAAATGAAAAGAAATAAGATTTCCTAACATACAAAGGAGTGAAGACTCCGGAGGCAGGAGAAAACTAGTGAGAATCAGGAATAGAATAAACCAAGAAATAGATAACATATAAAAAGAACACTGAGAAAAATTTACCAAAGATATGGAATACGACCTCTATGGACATTAGAAAAAGGTGTGGAAGATGATAAGAAGACAAAAAACAGAAATGAATGAATTTGTATGCGTTTGTATGAGCCATGTTTTAGATGTAGATGACACAGGAGTAATCCTTGTTGCACGAGGAAGAAGAAGAAGAAGGTTGTTTCAAGAAGAAACATTGGATCTTCTTAAAAAATTAGACGAGCCTAAAGAATAGTTAATAAAATATCTAATAGAGCGGTGGAATACTCTTTCCCTATCTCAGAAAGGGTAATGGTACTGAATATGGTGATATCTAATGCCAAACTGAAATTGATATAAGTTTATAGTCCTACACTTCAATAAAATAAGAAAGGTTCTTTGTGCAAGAGAACTAAAATTGGACTTGAGAGTTAGGCTGGCTAGGTGTTATATTTTCTCGACCCTGCTCTATGGGATGGAAGCATGGACACTTAACGCGTCGACTGATAAAATTTTGGAATCATTTGAAATGTGGATGTATAGAAGAATCCTGAAGATATCATGGACCGAGCATGTAACAAACCACGAAGTCTTGAGAAGAATTAACAAAAGAATGGAAGTATTGAAAACCATCAAAACACGAAAGCTGCAATACATGGGGCATGTTATGCATAATTAAAGGTACAACATACTTCAATCAATTATACAAGGAAAAATCTAGGGCAGGAGAAGTATAGGAAGGAGAAGAATCTCATGGTTGCCTCACTTGAGGGAATGGTAGGTATGCACATTAATTGAACTATTCAGAGCAACAGCATCTAAGATTAGAATAGCCATGATGATTGCCAAATATACTCTTACGGCGTATGCCGATGAAGAAGAAGTAGAATTATTACAAGAGAAATCACGATAGTCCTAGGTGATCTCAATGCAAAAATTGGAAAGAGATAAAGCGAAAAGTGTATGGAAACTATGGTCTGGGAATTCGAAACGAGAGAGGAGACTGTCTGTTACAATTCTGTCAAGAGCAAAACTTGATTATTACAAACACATTTTTCAAGTTACCAAACAGGCGACTGCCTCATACACATCAGCCTCATAAAAATGACGTTGCAGGGTTCAAAAGCCGCAGTCAGGGTAGATGGAGAACTGACTCCCTGTTTAACACCAACATGGGAGTAAGACAGGGAGATGCCCTATCAACCATGCTATTCAACCTAATTATTGAAGCAGTCATCAGAAAAACCAATATAACCGGTCATATAAACACAAAATCAGTACAAATTACTGCATATGCAGACGACGTAGCCATCATTAGTAGGAATAAGCCACGACTAATGGAAGTGTAATAAACGAAGCAAAAACGAAGTATTTGACAGTCAGAAGAATAACTAACAATGAAAATAATATCACAATAGACAACTATACTATCGAACGAGTGGATGCCTTTACATATCTCGGCACAGAAATCAATCAGAAGAACTCCATAAGTAGCGAAATTAATGCACGTATTTACAGCAGGAATCGTACATACTATGCTAATAAAAGATTGATGACATCGAAATTATTAGACATAAGAACCAAAATGACTATCTACAGAACAGTGATTAGACCTGTAGTAACCTATGGATGTGAAACTTGGGTAATGACGAAAAAAGATGAAGCCCAACTCAGGACATTCGAGAGAAAAATACTGAGGAAAGTATATGGCCCGGTACAAGAGGAAGATAGCACATGGAGAATCAGGAGAAACGACGAGGTTAATGAGTTAAATGAAGGTTATGACATTGCAAGATTTGTGAAAAGTCAAAGACTGTCATGGCTGGGACATGTGCAGAGACAAAACGATGCAAAAACAACAAAGAAAATGTTACAATGGAAGCCCATAGGAAGGCGAAAAAAAGGAAGGCCCAGAACGAGATGGTTGGATGACGTGGAAGACGACCTGAAAACAATGAACATAAGATAATGGAGAAGAAGGGCACAAGAGAGATCTGAATGGAAGGACATAGCCAGACAGGCAAAGACCCATCCAGGGTTATGATGCCAAAAGAAGAAGAAGAAGAAGAAACAGGCCACTGTATACATGATGATCGGCCGCAGAAACATCGGAGAAAGTAGTCTTTATTAATATTATCTATTAACAATAACAGGTCTATAGGTACTTAATACTTTCTTCTAATAAAGTTTTCTGTTATTTCAAAAAACTATTTAACCAAATCGTTTTTTATTTATATTAATATGCACGGAATTAAATGATTGTCTATCATTTTATTTTCTTTATCTCATCTATTTGTTTAATTTAAAAATCTTAAATATGTACAAGAACTTACCCATCGCAGTCTACAAATCCAAAATTCACGTGTCCAGTGTCATGTTTAAAGTATGCCAATCGACCTGTCGGCCGCACTAACCTCACCCCTCTGGAATTATTGACCCTTGAGACACCGGGACCAGAAACCGTTGTATCACCACTTGAATTATTCACTGACCTCTTCCCGTAAGTCCCAGTCCGGCATACGGAAATGTCAATCTTCCTACGGAATAACATATTCACCGAAAATCCTCAAAGAACATTGAAATGCATACCTAATAGGCAAGTTATTTTCTACAGTTCCTAATTTTGAAGTCGGAGACCGTGAGAGCGTATGAAATGTTAATATTTTATCTTACATATAGAAAACGTAAAAGGTTTCAATTAAAATCTCATTTGAGTTTATTTGTCAGTAGTGGTTTTACCTATATAATAACTAGTTCAAATGAATCATGGATATTAATGAAAAATATATATAAAAATAAATGTTCTGATCCAATTAACCAATACAATACGCGAAATTTTAATATAAAGCAAAGGTTCGGATAAGACCGACAATTTATTTATTTATTAAAACTTACAAACACCACCTAGGTAGTAATTACATGTAAGAGTGCTCATTACTGGGTATAAACAATATACACACAAGTACAAAATAAAAACACAGAAAGTAAAGCACATTAAAAAAAAGACACAAGTTAATAAAATTTTAAAAATTAAGTCCATTCTTATCTATTCATAACATTTTTTTAATATCCCTTACACTACAGGTAAAGAGGTCTATATCACAGATCTTTATTAACTTATTACACTGATATTGCAATTAGTTTACTATTGCACAAGAATTATATGGACGACAAGAAAATAGGTTATTACTGTTTACCCTTAGGTTGACCTTTGGCACATGGAACCTAATAAAGTTGATCAAACCACATAATATCTTATATTTAACATTGTTAATGATATTATGAATAAACACAACACAATGCATGTTTCTTCTTTGCTCTAATGACTGCAAGCCAAATATTTGAAGCAACTCTTTTGATGGCGTAAGGTGAGTATACAACTTGTATTTCTTAAGGTTATCTTATATATAATTAAAGTTAAGATTATATCGTTATATTAAAGAAATATTTTTGTACCTTTTGTATATGATTAATATGAACTTTGGCTTCAGGAGTCCATACCACTGATGCATATTCCAAGTTTGGTCTGGCTAAAGCGTTATATAGTCTAATGATTGTGTTTATACTAAAGTGTTGGAATTTCTTATTACAAATCTCAATATTTTGTAGGAGTTATTAACAACATTTATACAGTGTTTATTAAATTTCATGTTAGCCTATAGGTATATTCCCAGATCTTTACATTTGGTTTTCTTAGATACTACACAATTGTCAATTCTATAATATTTTGAATGTAGTCGATTTTGCGAGTAAAAGATATGACTCCACACTTCTTAATATTCAAGATCATATTGTTGTCCCTAAACCATTCCACAACTGAGGTCAGCTCCTCCTGTAGTAACTGACAATCATTTGAAGTATGTATAGTCTTAAAAAGCTTAAAATCATCAGCATAGATCAACATGGTGTGTAAACATGGACTTTAACTAAACAGCGTCTCAATAAATTGGAAGCATTTAAAATGTGGACATACCGAAGAATGCTGAGAATCTCTTGGACAGACAGAATAACCAATGAAGAAGTACTAAGAATAATATAGAACAGGAAGGAGATATTGGATTCAATCAAAATAAGAAAACTACAATATCTGAACCATATAACACGTCTTGACAGATATGAATTATATGAATGATATGAAAACGCAGCATAGGTAGAAGAAGAATGTCCTGGCTGAGAAACCTCAGAGAATGATTTGGATGCAGCTCAACTGAACTCTTTCCATCTGTAGTGTAAAAAGTTGGAATAGCAGTGATAATTGTCAACCTTCGTCGCGGATATGACACGTAAAGAAGAAGAAAGGCAAAAATTTATATGGTATGGACATGCAAGGCGTATGGCGGAAAAATGACTACAAAAAGAGATATTGGAATACATCCTGCCGACGAAGAGAGAACCAGCCGGATCACTTACAACATTGCTGCAAGTAATTATCAAAGGGACGTCAGAAAAAAAATTAAGTGAA